CCCCCCCCCCCCCCTCGGGCCCCCGTCAAACGTTTGCCCCCGAGCCCCCACAGCAGGCTTCTTCAAAGCGGGACTGCAGGTCGAGGTTGGTGCTGCCAGTGTCGGTGTGTGGCGTGTCACCTCTTCGTGAGCCTCCTCCTGCCTCGTTTCCTCGCGCTGTGGCGGTGGTGTTTGTAGAGATGAGCATTGCTGGATAGTCACTGGAGCTTCGCCAATATTGTTGTGCGACAAAAATACTGCTGCAGTTTGCAAGAAAACATCACAACCGGGGGTGTTGGTACTCTGCCTGTAGGCTGGCTGCTGGATCCGACGACATCTGAGAAGGTGGGTGCTTGCCGTGCTTTACCTATCTTGGAGGTTACCCAACGTGTAAAGAAGGTCGTAAGGCGCTGGTAGTTGCTAAGTCGCCGTCTAGACATGCCGTGTGTAGCATCCACAGCAGAACTAAGCAACTGATCGTTCGTTCCCTCTGGAGCAACAGCAGCAGTTACTTTTGCAGCTCAGTGGGTAGACTGCAGTGTGGTACAGTTCGTGTGCAGTATGACCACAATCCACAGGCGTAGAGCTTGTTGGCATCGTAGGTAGCGTGAGGCACAGGCAACACGTCCGGATCTCGCATCACGTACTTGTGGTATTGCGACTGCTGTAGATGGACCAGTCGATGGTGTTGTTGTCCCCGTTGATGCGTAGTGACGGAGAGAGAGCCAGCCCGATAGTTGCAGTACATTTGCACACGACGGCAGTTGATGCTGGTATGCATACAGCAAGCATTCCGTTCTTGCTGGTACTTTGCTTAGCTCGCCTGAAAGCGACGCGTTGGAGCCCCTTCACCTGCTATGTACATCTTCTGGAAGTTACATATGCTTCTGGTGGTGAATATTTCGAGTAAACTGCACACATCGCATCATAGTCGAGCCCTATTCTTACACATACTCCGCACAATGCATGTTGCCCGTGCAAGAGGCAAATTCTCTCGCTTGTTGTTCTCTCGCAATCCCATCCACACAGCAGCAACAATATAGCAGGAGCAATATTAGCAGAGGGGCGGGAAACAACTACCAACGGCGGCGGCGGCAGCAGCAGCAGCAGCAGCAGCAGCAGCAGCAGCAGCAGCAGCAGCAGCCAATCCCGCCGCAACTAACTCTCCAGGAAACCCCACCGCTCAGCCCGCGGGGACATCATGCTCATCCTGCCGCAGGGCATAACGCCGTCCAATGCTGCACTGGGCGCGCTCGGCGTGATGGCGGCGCCGGCCCTGGCGTGGTTCGTCCAGCCCCTGGTCTCCGCGAGGACTTACCGGCGAAGGAGCTTCGAGTCCGAAGACTTTTTCTGGGGCGTCGGGCGAGGCGGGTACGTACCACGACACACACGACACGTTGGCGAGGGAGCGGGAGAGAGAGAGCTGCTGTGTTACGTAATGCTTTTGCTCAGCAGTAGCCTTCGGAGGGTTTTTCAGAGAATACATACACATGAACAAAAAAGATGGATACAGCATGCAGTCGGGGAAGTTGGGTTAGGGGTAGGTTCTGCGTATGTATGCTACCCCCCTCCCTTGTTGTTTTCCCTCATATACGGTTCATTTCTCGCGGAGGCCGTCCGCTTTGCTACCTGTATGTATACATCTGCGCGGCGGCGATGGAAGCAGAGGGAGAGGTCGAGCAACGAGCATTCTTCCCGTTTGGGGCAACCCTCCAAGCAAGACGCTTGTGCATACATGTAATCCTCAAAGTGTACTAGTACAGACTGTCTGATCTTCAACCACTTATGTGTAGTTGTGCTATAATTCGTTTGCGCGGCGGCGATGGCAACACAGAGAGAAATCAAACAAGGAGGCTTTTCCCGTCTGCGGGGACCCTCCAAGTAAGACTCTCAGCGTGATCGTGCCCGCACACAACGAGGAGGATAGGCTTCCGGGGATGCTCAAGGATACCTTCACCTACCTCAACACTCGCCGAAAAACTGCAGACAGGTATTGTGAGAAGAGTCACCTTAGGCTGTGGTGTATTTGAAGACAGCAGTCGGTCAGACAGGCATACGCGTTGGAGCTTTGGTGCAGCAGCAGCAGAGTATCCAGCACATGCTCTACGAGACAGGAGGGGTTGACGTAGCACCACCGTGCTGTGTTATTCGGCAGCGACGCTGTACGGCAGGAGGCAGAGGATAGGGGCCCACTTGGTGGCCCGAATGGAGATAGCAACGTTTGTTTCTTTCTCAGAGTCGAGTGCCGGATGGCCGTGCTTCTGGTTGCGCGGAAACGAAAGCAAGCCGCCGCACTATTGCCGCCATTCCTTTCGATGGAAAGCTTGATGTACGCCCGTGCTGCTGTCATGTCCGTGCGGGACTGCTGTCCTCGTAACGTCCCTGGTATGGCGTTTGGCAACCAACCACCGTAACCTTACCAACGGCAGCTCCTTCACCTACGAGGTGATCGTTGTTGACGACGGTTCCACCGACGGCACCGCGGCGGAGGTGTACCGCTGGGTGGAGAGGCTCGGCACTGACGTGGTCCGGCTCTTGACTCTCAAGGAGAACCAGGGGAAAGGGGCAGCAGTCGGGAAGGTATGAATGACAGCACACAGCAGTACAGCCGCACTCAGTGTGTTCCCGCTAGGCTCACCGGTGGTTCTTGTCCTGGACACCCGGCGCTATGTAGAGAACGAGGCAACCGCAACACGTTTTCAGCTGTGGCACTATTGAGCGACCCATCCCGGTGGTGGGGTGGGGCGTGCAGGCTTTCCAGGGTCCTCGGAGCGTTGCTTTTTTGGTTGTGATGTGGGAGAGTGTGAGGACAATCTCACCTGTATACGGCACAAGATAGCGCACACCCCCATACGCCACAATGCGACACCCAGTGTGACTATTCTTGAGGGTCAATATGAGCCCGAACCACAAATCTCGGCTCAGATAACGTAAAATAGGGCGGCGTGAGATATCACAAACCCGAGCCTATTTTTGTGGGTCAACAGGAGCCCAAAACATAAACCTACTCTCAGATCGAGCAAGCTGCGGCGTGAGGTATCACACCTCAGAACGTATCACAACCGGTGATATGTGATTCAGAAGCGATCAGATTTATCACCGGCGTGTGTGTCCATTGCGTTGTATACGGTTTACGCTAAGTATGTCACAGGGGAAGGTGTTCTATAGCTTGATGCCGTCTTCGTAAGGGGTTCGCAGTGGAGAAGGCTTACCGTGATCTGCCTGGGAGCGCCTAGAGCGCCTTAAGAAGTGGTGGCGAGCTTCGACACTGCTGTATTCTACCGTAAGGATGCCAGAGATGGCACCCGGCCTAATCCCGTTTTTCAAAGTCCGATTGCTCCACAACTATGATTGTGCCAACACCAACAATGGCAACTTTGAAAACATCTCACATGAGGACTTTCTGTTGAAATGTCGGGGTAATTTCCTCACCCTCTTGGTTGTGGACCACTCGAGCGTTGGAGGTCGGTCTAGGGGGGGTGCAGCCATCTCTCTGCCTCTTGCGGAATACCACGGTACGGTATACGGTACGGTACAGACAATATTGGTTGTGGAGCACTCGAGCTCTAAAAATCGGTCTTCGAGGGGTGCCATCTCTGCTCCCCTTATGGTGGTGTATACCATGGTACGGTATACGGCACGGTACAGACAATCTTGGTTGTGGAGCACTCGAGCTCTAAAAATCGGTCTTGGAGGGGTGCCATCTCTGCTCCCCTTATGGTGGTATATACCATGGTACGGTATACGGTACGGTACAGACAATCTTGGTTGTGGAGCACTCGAGTTCTGAAAATGAGGTCTATGGGGGGTGCTATCTCATCGGTGTCATCGGAAGGGTGTTATTCTACGCCGTGATAGCGTTTGGGGTGGAAGGTACCACGTGCTGACGTGTGAAGAAGGCTTGACGTCGTACCCAGCACGATTCCACCTCGACGCAAAAGGTGTGCCGACAGACTGACATGTAGATGGATTGCTGCTGTGGCATTTAAGTGAACTGCGGACAGGCTGACAGATAGATGACTGCTGCTGTGGCATCTGAGTGAGCTGCTGACAGACTGACAGGTAGATGGATTGCTGCTGTGGCATCTAAGTGAACTGCTGACAGACTGACAGATAGATGACTACTGCTGTGGCATCTGAGTGAGCTGCTGACAGACTGACAGGTAGATGGACTGCTGCTGTGGCATCTGAGTGAGCTGCTCACACGACAGATAGATGACTGCTGCTGTGACGTCTAAGTGAGCTCCTCTTCCCGAACCGCTGCCGTCCCTATGCTCCAGGGCATGCTGCGGATGCGGGGAAAGTACGGTCTAATGGTGGACGCAGACGCTGCTACTGAGATCCAAGACCTCGACAGGCTGCTGATCCGCATGCGTGACGTCGAGACGACTGGGGTCGGGGCGGGGGTCCGCGGGGCTGCAGTGGGGGAAGGGGGGCCCGGAAAGAAGCACGGGCTTGTGGTGGGAAGCAGGGCACACATGGAGGGAGAGGCGGTGGCAAAGGTGCGTGCTTTTTTTGGCGGGGGGCAAACGGCACAACAGGGTATGCCCTGGTCGAAAAGCGACACACCTGGGTAAACCGTCATTACCAGCAGTGCTTTCACTCATGTTATTGGTCAGCGCCCAATTTCACCCCGGTGCGTCCGAAAAGGCGCAGGGTATACCCTGCCGTGACTACTTTTCTCAACAACTGTACCCTGTTGTCGGAAATATACCCTGACCTGACGGAAAATAAAACCTTTCATCAGTCATTTCCCCCGAAGCAATCTTCCCAGCTCCTTTTCCCCTCCATGGGATACCAAACGGCGAATCTTTCCGCCCAAAAACAACCATGGCAACGGGGCAGGAATCAGCTTTCGCCCCTGCGAAACAACACCAACCGTCAACTCTTCCGCTCTAAGTCAACAATGGTCGGGCAACACTTACCCCAGCACAATTGTTCCGTTTGGAAACATGCACACACGCGTACGATACCCCGTGGACAACTGCTTGCTGCACTCTATGTGCGAGATGCACGGATCAAGCTATGAAAGCAAGACCGATCCAGCATGGTTGACATGCATGGCATGTGCCAATGCGTGGCGCTGTGCTGGCGGCGAGCTCGCGCCCACAGAGAGGACGGAGGGGAGAGGCAGGGCCAGCACACACAGACACGCCCTTGACATCAATCACGCACACACGAGTATTTTCCTTACTCTAGCAGCAGGACACTGCTGTGTCGCCTAACTCGATCACCCACCCTGTCGGCAGAGAAGAAAGAGTGCTCGCGTTGTATTTCATCGGCTCATCCCGCTGAAGCCTGACGTTTCTTACTACATGGATTGATTTGATTGGTCGGCTTGGTTGGCTGGAAAGCGTGACCGCTGCTGCTACAGCAGTAGTTCAAGCAAGAAACACATCGCGATTGAGACACAACAGACAAGAACAGACAACGCACGCACGCATACACGGCACATCGCATTTGAGACACAACAGGCAACACACGCACACAGACATGCGTATGCATGTCAACCATGCTGGATCGGTCTCGCTTTCATAGCGCGACCTGTGCATCTTGCATAAACACTCCGTTGCCATGGTTGTTCTTGGGCGGGAAGATTCGCGGTTTGGTATCCCATGGTTGGAGGGGAAAAGGAGTTGGAAGATTCCTGCGGGGGAAGTGATTGATGAAAGGTTTTCTTTTCCCGTCAGGTCAGGGTACATTTCCGAAAACAGGGTACACTTGTTGAGAAAAGTAGTCACGGCGGGGTATACCCTGCGCCTTTTCGGACGCACCGGGGTGAAATTGGGCGCTGACCAATGATATGAGTGATTTTACTGCTGGTAATGACTGTTCACCCAGGTGTGTCGCTTTTCGATCAGGGTATATACCCTGTTGTGTCGTTTTCCCTTTTTTTTTTTTCTTTGAAAGGACCAAGTTCAAAAATGAGGTGAATTTTCCGTCACAACGGCACATTTTGAAAACATAAATATATGAACGCTCTCGGATTTTTTTTCGAAAAGTTCACTTTTTCTTCTAACAGCACTGTTCCTGGGACCAGTCCCATTTGTCCGAAGGTTTTACCTCTAGCGATGATGTCACGATGTCACCATGAGGGAGTCTGATCAGCACAGCCCGCGACCCAGTAACCAAACCTCCCTCATAGATGCTTGCATTTGGGTGAAACCTTCAACGCCGCATGCTCCACAGCTCTGAGGTACCTTGCCACCAAACCCGAGATGAGTTTGAGCGGAGCGTTGCGAGTGTCTCTTGAGAAAGACGCGACGTTTTTGAGCTGGAATGCAGATGAACCCAGACAGGGTGTGTAAGGCAGCACACCCCATACGCGCATCGCTTTCTTGCAACGCTCCACATATCCCGCTAATCTTCAAGCCAGAGCCAACACAACGCACAAGGCAGCAAGAAGGCCCTAAAAGTGTGGTGTTGTTGTCGTGGATAATGCTGCACCGCATTCGTGTTAGGAGTTGGGCGATCGATACAAAGTGCAGTTGCACTGCTGCTGCTGCTGCTGCTGCTGCTGCTGCTGCTGCTGCTGCTGCTGCTGTGTGTGTGTGTCAACAGTATCGCCAGCCCTACACATTCAAACCGCGCGTGAGAGAGCCGTTTGGCACATGTGAACATTTTACGACGTCGAAGCAGGAGTCCATCCACTGCTGGCAGTAAGCTCCATGACCGATCGCGCTCATGAGTTGCTGGGGTGAGGTGAGGTCCGCAGCAGCGCCCATCCTGGCGCGGTGTTGACCAAAGCAACTAAAAGCTAACACATGAAAAAACTCGAAAAACTGCAGAAGTTACACACACCAGCTGCCCTTCGTGCTGACAACATCTTCCTAGCGTCGAAAGCTCATTTTTATGGTGGCCATAAACTGGCTCTTAACACTATCAAGTGAAAATGAACTTGTCGGAATGTGGATCCGAAACCGTGTTTGGCGGTAAGTTGCGCAATTTTTTTTTCAGTTTTGCCTTCCAGTGGTCTAGGCAGAAAGTACTATAACATTGCATTTTCATGGAAGCGTGTTGGTTGCAGGTCACCTGGCAGCGGTACATAGGTGACCCGAGTCGTGTCAGGAGTCGGACTGAACGTGTTCCACTCAAAATTGTTCGGAGATGGAACCGGTCAACGCGCGTTTTTGAGTGCCGGCCGGGCTTGCGTGCCTGCTTGACGTATTTGTTGTGGTTGCGAATCTCGACGCTGTTGAGTGTGCTTGGTCGTTTGTAAGGGAAAACTGTGTGTGTGTCGCTATGCGTACCATCCTGCTCACCCGCCAATGCTCATGTAGTTGGGCGTGTTGTTTGTAGTTGGGATTGGCCGAAAGAATGCCCCCGGTAGCCGTATTTCGCGGGCGATCATTTTGCGTTTTGCTGCCGTGGTTGTCATGTGGGTATGTGTCTTGTGTTGCTACGATGTTGCCGTTGCTGTTGTTGTTGCTACTGCTTCTGCTGCATTTACTGCTGCTGCTGCTGCTGCTGCTGCTGTTGTTGTTGTTGTTTTGCTGCTGCTGCTGCTACGGTCTTGTGTACGACAGTGCTGTAACTAACAACGACCTTTCTCGCCCATTCCTGCTGCCCCCCCCCGTCTTTGCCCCTTGATCCAGAGAGCCCTGCACCGGACAATATTGATGTTCGTTTTTCATTGGTGTGTGTCGATCCTCTGCACCCGGACCATCAAGGACACGCAGTGCGGTGAGAGACAGAGGCAGCAGAGTGGCAGCAGCAGCAGCGGCGTGTTGAATGTGTTTGCCTGGACCCTCCACTCTGTCATGTAGTGCTGGAAATCCCTTGGTTCGCGAGGAACACAGAGGTACGAAACGGGCGGCATTCTTGCCAAGTCCTGTCCCTTGTGCCCTGCGTCCGTTTCGAGGCCTTTGGCCTTGGTGTTACGTTGTGTAGACCTAGCCCACTCGACCGACAGGCTGCGGTAAAATTGCTCTGCTGCCGTGTGTGGGTGAGACCCGTCCCGTTTGCCCTGCGTTCGTTTCGAGGCCTTTGGCGTGGCTTTGCTGTGTGTAGAGCTGGACCACTTCGCTGACAAGCCTATTGCTGCGGCAAACTCCTCTTTCTGCCCTTTGTGTGTTTTTTTACCCTAGGGTTCAAGCTCTTCACCAGAGATACAGCGGTCTTGGTGTTCAGCTCGCTGCACCTACAGCGATGGGCCTTCGACATCGAGCTCATCTACATCTGCCAGCTCATGGGGGTGCCGATGGCGGTAAGGCGGCGATTGTTTTTCCGTGCGGCTTTTGGAGTCGGTGAAAACTTGCACACCCTATACAACAACTTTAGTTGGTAGTTGTATGCCAAACAACTACTCTTCCAAAAGCGTGCGCACCTAGTCGCCTGCAGACAACTACTTGTCCACGAGCGTGCGCACCTAGTTGCCTGCAGACGACTACTCTTCCAGAATCGTGCGCACCTAGTTGCCTGCAGACGACTACTCTTTCAGAATCGTGACGACTACTCTTCCAAAAGCGTGCGCACCTAGTTGCCTGCAGGCGACTACTCTTTCAGAATCGTGCGCGCCTCGTGGCCTGTAGACAACTACTCTTCCAGGAACGTGCGCAACTAGGTGTTCACGAACAACTAGCCGGTAGTTGTCTGGCAAACAACTAACTAGTTGAATATACTAAACAACTAGTTAGTCATTAGAAGTTGAATATACTAAATTGATTGGGTTGAATGATAGACTTTGCATGCCACAGGTAGACCAATGAGCCAGTAAATGTAGACGGCACTTGATGAACCACGTGATGCACATGCTCAACCCTCCCCACGGTGTGACATCTCTAGTTGAGAACACGGTAGCACATAACGCCATCGCGCGAGATCAGCGTACTTACTGCGGTTGAACCCTGCTGGTTGAAACAGCTCGTTCGCCCAACGCTCAAGCTTGATGGGCACGGCCATTTATAAGATGATGAGCACGAGCGGACAGTAATAAAAGACGAGATTCCAGGAACAAGAACTGCTATGCACGGCATGGTTGTATGTAATGTATACGCCTCTAGGCTATGTAGGAGAGAGGTGATAGGAAGTCGACTGGATTGTGGAATAAGAAAGTTGAGCCTGAAGACGACTACTCTTCCAGGAGCGTCCGCACCTGGTTGCCTGGAGACAACTACTGGTTCAGATTTGTGCACACCTAGTTGCCTGCAGCCGACTACTCTTCCAGGAGCGTGCGCACCTAGTTTCCTGTAGACAACTACTTTCCAGAATCGTGCGCACCTAGTTGCCTGCAGACAATTACACTTCCAGAACCGTGCGCACCTAGTTGCCTGCAGACAACTGCTCTTCCACACTCGTGCGTACCTAGTTGCCTGCAGACTACTAATACTACACACATCGGACAGATCACATTGCTATTGATCGTCATAGATCATTTCGGTCGCAGATCACCAAAATCTAAAGCTACAGATCGATCTGTGCATGTTTATGATTCTTGATCTTGGACACGGATCGATCCGATCTCTACATCTGTAGGCCACAGACCACAGACCACAGACCAGAGATCAGAGATCATGCGGGTGGTCTTTCGTCCCGTGTGGCACGTGCCATGTCAGCTTCTCAGGAGAGCTCTCCCGCACCTTCCACACACCACACAGCTCCCACACACGCGAGAGGCCACGTGCGCCTAGGATGGCAGACACGAGCGGCGGCAGCCGCCTCGGCTGCAGACCAAGAGGTTATCCCTGTGGACGGTGATGGGAGCCCAAGCCCTCCGACCGGTGATGGGAGCCCTAGCCCTCGGACGACTCGCCTTTTTTGATAGTATAAGACTATGTGTCGTGAACCATCTAATGACTTTCGGACCCTTCGGATCATTATTGTTTTCGTGCATTGTACCTTTTTGGGGTAAGTCAGCCCATGACCACGGGAATCGACCGCGTCAAGTGTCGTCGTGAGTGTTTGACTACAAAGTGCGGACAGAACAAGGTACTGGGTAGAGAAAACGGAACAGTTCTACATGTGAAGGCAGCAGCAACAACAACAACAACAACCAACACACAGTCTATATTGGCTCTTCATCTGTAGGTCACAGGACCACCGATCATCTGTGACATTTTCAAGTGTTGATCCGTAGATTCGTATATAGACTATGTGTACATCCGAACGTGTTTGTAGATCTTGATCTATCATCCACAGATCATCCGTTATATTTCCGACTCTTGATCTATAACCCATGGATCATCTGTGATACCTCCGACTCTTCATCCAAAGACAAAGATTGATCCGAACATATCTACCGCTCTTGATCTATCATCCATAGGTCATCTGTGATATATCCCATTCTTGATGTAGACACAGATAGATCTGTACATTGTCTGATGTACATGATCTGTGATCCATTGATCATCTGTGATACTTAAGTATTTCCAACTCTTGATCTATAGCCATAGATTGATGCGAACATATCTGCCGCTCTTGGTCTATAATCCATAGATGATCGATGATACCTGGGTGCTCTTGATCTGTACTCCACAGATCATATGATACTTCCAACGCTTGATCTATAGACCACAGATCACCTAGATCATGATCTATCCGACGCGTGCTACTCTTCCAGGAGCGTGCGCACCTAGTTGCCTGCAGACAAGTACTTTTCCAGGAGCGTGCGCAACTAGGTGTTGACGAGCAACTAGCCGGTAGTTGTCTGGCAAACTATCTTAGTTAGTTACCAGAAAAGTTGTACAGGGTGTGAAAACTTGCATGGTATTGGCATTGTCTCGTCGAAAAGTCTCGACGGACATAGCAGATGCACGCGAGACCTCCCACGAACACGGAAATGCCTTCCATCAGCCTCGGTTGCCCATGACCATACCAAGCCATGCGTTTTGGGTATGTACCTTGGGGAGCAGTAGTTACAGAACATTCCATGAATTTGTCAGACAGATGTGTTCAGCATGTTAACCCTCTCCCGCCCGCGTTGCGTTTTTTGTGCGATGTACGCTATTTTTTTGCATGTTTTTTTTTTTTTTGTTAGGAGGTAGCAGTGAACTGGCGCGAGGTTCCCGGATCCAAGCTCATCCGCTCCAAGCTCGACGTCATCACCACATCTGCGACGATGCTCAGAGACATGATGTGCGTCCGCCTTTGCTACGTGCTGGGCGTGTGGGCCGTCGCAGAGCAGCCTTCGGGAGAGGGCAAGAAGCGCCGATGAAGCGAGGGGGATGTGTGAGCATTGGCGGAGGCTTGGGGCGGTGTTGAGAAACAATGATAGCGACCAGTACTTTCCTTTACAGGGAGACAGACTATCATACTACTTGTTATAAGAATAGCAACAACGGGCTGAAGAGAGAGAATTAAGACTTTGATCGTTCCGGCCATGAGAATAACGTGCTGTGTTCATAGAGCTTCTTTTTAGGAGGTAACAAGATGGTGTTTTTGGCTTGCCACGACCCTCTATTATTAACGGCAGCTAAATAGTCACTGGGCTGCCCTCTGCTGGCGTTTCTGTACCGTGGGGCATGGTGAAGTGCACGTCCGCCGACTACGCTTGTCCTGAACACGTCGGCCTTACGGTACTCTTTTGTTGTAACAAGAGTCGACGGAGACATGCGCAGAAAAAGGTTGCTGCGTTTGCAATGGGCTCCGCTGTTTTGCGAGATAATCTGAAACCGCCGCATGACGCGCGATGGGAAACAAACGCATTGCCTACACGTGTCATGGTTGTGTTTCCGAAGATTCTTTTTTTTTCCGTGCGGCATTTTCGCTGATTGGTGTGTGTAGCGCACGTGGTTGGATTTTCGTCAAGTGCACGTCGCTCATTCCCGCCTCTTGCTGCTGGGTTGTTTGTTGTTTGCTCCAACGCTCCAACCCAAGGCGGTGTGTTGGCAAGTGGAGAGAAGTCTGACACCACGCCAGTCACCACTTTCAACAAGAATCTTCACATGGGGACCATCGCGTTCTCGTTCGTGCACACCACAGTCTTATAGAGTCAAGCGTTTTTCTTTCTCGCAGCGTGGTGGGCACATCCGAGATAGTGGTGGAAGAAAAATAAGGGGTCGCTTACCTCCATCTAGCGGGTTGGCGCGCACTGACGGGATCGCGGTGTGTAAGGTGAATGTGGTGTGATGTGTTCTGACATGCAGACCACCACCGCTGAGGCTGGAGACCACCAATTCGACCCAAAAAAATAGTGCTGTCTAGCATTACACGGGTGGCCAGACGCGAGGTTTGGCGAGGGAGGTTGCTGCACGCCGAAAGCATGCACATACATAGTAATCCCCCGCATAATCTCTGAATAGTGAAAAAGAAAAGGTGCCCGCAGTTTTAATAATCCACCAATCACGGCGGGCTGGAAGCACAAGACAAATCAGTGTTGTTCAAGGTCGATCAAGCCTGTCCTCGCAGCAACCTCTTTGACCCAACCATCCCCCCTGGCCACCGGTGTACATGAATACTGGACGACCCACGGGCCAGATCAGGAAAACTGTCGAGCTGACAAGTAACTCGTTCATCATTCGAGAAGACCTCACATCATTGTCTAACGCAAGACGGAAAACAGCAAGAGGGCAAATCGCACTGCCTACCTGCCTACACAACGCCAGTTACAGGGCCTCTGTGTCTCATAAGTGGACCTGGTTTCTACACCAGCTACGTTTACTTTTTCTAAATCTAGTCGAGGAGGGAGATCTCTAAGCACGCCACATACAGGTAGGTACTACTGTAGGTGTCACAGACCTCCCCCAGCGGCGTTTGCAGGGAAGGGCAGCAAGCAATGGTTGCTGCTCGACGTTGCCAGTTTCCAGTCTATGCTCCGAAAAGCTTCGAGCTCTTGGCTCAAGATGCCCCCCACTGCCATTCATCCCTGTGCTAACCACAAAACCTGCTCTCCCAGACATTTGTCGGCGAAACAGATTCAAGCAAGTCCAGTACCGCCCTCCAGCAGGCGTCCCCCGACCCTCACCGGAAAAGCCTTGGACACATGCTTCGAAACTGCATGCATTTCCCGACCCTCACCGTAAGACCTTCGACACATGCTTTCGAGCAGGTATTTGTCGAACGGAGTAGACTGCATCGAGGCTATCCGTCTTGTTTTTTATTGCATATTTTCGGCACGGCAAAGAAGCTGGCCGTTCCAGCAGTACGCGATGACTGGCACGACCACATCCCAGCATGCGTCGTTACAACCTCCCATCCGGCTGCTTTCGGGCGCTGGCTTCAATCAGCAACAAATACCTCACGTGTTGTGTCGCTTGGGTTACCAGCCTGCTACCACTGCTGTTGTGCCAAAGCTCCACGAACAGCAACAGCAGTGGAGACCATTCTTCTACACTATTGTACCGTGAAAAAAACTAAACGCCGCGGAGTCGGTAATGTTTCCTGTTTCTCGGCCTAATTCTATTCGCTACTTCTCGGCGCCAGCAGTCTTGGGGCTGGGATTGTACATCTGCAACGAGTAGACGGTGTTTCGCCGTACGTTGTCCAGCAGGTCCAAGAACATCTCCTTGCCCTGCAAAGGACAGCGGGGGGGAGGGTGATCGTCGTAAGTCCGTAGCTTACCCGTGCTCCAAAGAAAACAAGCCAAACACAGAATAAAGCAGCGTGTACCTCCGTCACAAACGAATGAAGTCATGCACAGAATTATCCCAAGTAAAATATGCACAAAAGTTTAACTCGGTACAGGGTAGCCTGTGTGTACCCAAAGGAATTGAGTCAACGACAGTAGGATACCTGTGCCCCAAACTCCTCTAGGGGGTTTCGTCCCCTGAAGACCTCCATCGACACGCTCTCCTTGAGGAGATTCATGTTCTCCAGGTGCTGACACCACAGGTCGTCCATCTGCGTGAGCGTCAAGAACCGCGCAGACTCGCTCGATAGCCCAGTCCGTACTGCC